ATCAAGGGCGAACTGAACGTCAGTGCCGATAAGCTGGCAACAGCTATTTCTGAATCGGTATCTGTGGAGGATGCCCTCCGTATTTCAAGGTCAGAACTGACTGGGGAGAGGCAAGCCTTTGGTCGTTAAGTTGCAGGGCTCGAAGGGCGTGTCAAGGAGCTGGAGGTGGAGTTGGCCGCATTGAAGGGACAAATGGCCTAGCTGAGCATGGAGGAGGCAAGTCGACGTTCTCAACCTTATACGTCTCATGCCTCAGCTGATCCGGGCGTGCCCCATCGTTCGTACGAGTTGTGGGTCCATGCAGAGGCTCGACTTGATGTGTATAAGTCTTTTCACGCCGAGGGCAGGGCTACTAAGACGGAGGTTCACGCTATGCACGCCGAAGCTCGCGCAGCTCGTGAGTCATACAGGTATGACCCCTTACACCTGATGGGAAATGCATCAATTCTAATGATACGAATCACCTTGCTTCAGATTCGTGGTATGAAGATGCTTACCCCGCTGGGGATGATGTGTAGTCCTGGCTTGTATTTACTTTTTGTTTAGGAATTTTTGCATGGGTCGTGTTTGGGCCTGTTTGTAGGGGAAAATGTAAATGATATTTTGCTGTAATGTAAAATTTTACTTTCATCGGCTTGCTTTTTCCTGCATTTGTCGCACATGATATTAACGCCTTTAGCTATTGGGATATTGCCTCGACCTGTTGTCGAAGTAGAATCCCGTCGTAGTTCGAAAGAGGTCAAACTTATATTTTCGTCGATGGCCTTGGACATTAGGATGTTGCTTCGAATTGTCGTCGAAGTAGAATCCCATCGTGGTTCGAACAAGGTCGAACTTATACTTTCATTGACAGACTTGGCCATTGGGACGTTGCTCCGAACTATCATCGAAGTAGGATCCCGTCGTGGTTCGGACGAGATCAAACTTATACTTTCGTCGATGGTCTTGACCATTGGGATGTTGCTTCGAACTGTCGTTGAAGTAGAATCCCGTCGTGGTTCGAATGAGGTCGAACTTATAATTTTGTCGATGGCCTTAGCCATTGAGATGTTGCTTCGAACTGTCATCGAAGTAGAATTCCGTCATGGTTCGAACGAGGTCGAACTTATACTTTCATCGATGGCTTTGGCCATTGGGATGTTGCTTCGAACTGTCGTCGAAGTAGAATCCCATCGTGGTTCGAATGAGATCGAACTCATACTTTCGCCGATGGCCTTGGACATTGGGGTGTTGCTTTGAACTGTCGTCGAAGTAGAATCCCATTGTGGTTCGAACAAGGTCGAACTTATACTTTCGTCAATGGCCTTGGCCATTAGGATGTTGCTTAAAACCATCGTCGAAGTAGAATCTCGTCGTCGTTCGAACGAGGTCAAACTCATACTTTCGCGATGGCCTTGGCCACTAGGATGTTGCTTCGAACTGTTGTCAAAGTAGAATCCCGTCGTGGTTCGAATGAGGTCGAACTTATACTTTTGGATATTTGATCGTATTCCTGTAGGAAGACGTCACATGTCAACTAGTGGAGATCTAGTTCGAATGAGGTTGAACTTATACTTTTGTCGATGGCCTTGGCCATTGGGATGTTGCTTCAAACTGTCGTCGAAGTAGAATCCTGTCGTGGTTCGAACGAGGTCGAACTTATACTTTCGTCGATGGCCTTGGCCATTGGGATGTTGCTTCAAACTGTCGTCGAAGTAGAATCCTGTCGTGGTTCGAACGAGGTCGAACTTATACTTTCGTCGATGGCCTTGGCCATTGATATGTTGCTTCGAACTATCATTGAAGTGGAATCCCATCGTGGTTCGAACGGGGTTGAACTCATACTTTCATCGATGGCCTTGGCCATTGGGATGTTGCTTCAAACTGTCGTCGAAGTAGAATCATGTCGTGGTTCGAACGAGGTCGAACTTATACTTTCGTCGATGGCCTTGGCCATTGATATGTTGCTTCGAACTATCGTTGAAGTGGAATCCCATCGTGGTTCGAACGGGGTTGAACTCATACTTTCATCGATGGCCTTGGCCATTGGGATGTTGCTTCGAACTGTCGTCGAAGCAGAATCCCATCATTGTTGGAACGAGGTTGAACTTATACTTTTGGATATTTGATCGTATTCCCATAGGAAGACGTCACATGTCGACTAGTGGAGATTTGGTTCTGCACATACAATGGAGATTCTATTTCATTCATACAATGGAGATTTGATTCCGTACATACAATGGAGATTTTTTTCCATTCAAACAATGGAGATTTGATTATCTATATGTAGTCCCTTCATAACTTTGATCCGGATATCATATCGACAGGGCGAGGTGATGAACAGCGTGTCAATCCTCAAGGCGTCCCCCTCGCCACCTCGTTAAAAACCTCCCAGGGAAAACCCGATTCGGACAAAACCTGAGTGAGGGAAAAAGAGTACGACTTAGGTGATGCCTTCTTTTAGAAGTGGAAGTACTTGAGATGGGCGACATTCTAGTTATTTTGGAGTAGTTTCCCCTCCATTGTTTCTAGCTAGAATGCTCCTTTGTTTACTGCTGCTACGATTTTGTATGGTCCGTCCCAGTTTGTTCCCAATTTTCCCTCATTAGGGTCCTTTAAGCTTGCGTTTTAGCCTTGAGGACGTAATTTCCGACTTTAAGCGGTCGTACCTTGGCTCTCTTGTTATAGTATCTTTCTACTTGTTGTTTCTGGGCTACCATTCTTATGTGGGTCATGTCTCTTCGTTCTTCAACTTTATCCAGATCTTGTAGTCTACTTTTGTCGTTGCATGTTCCGCTCTCGTTGAAGTATCTCAAACTGGGCTCCCCGACCTCGACGGGTATGACTGCGTCAATCTCATAGACCAGTGAATAGGGTGTTTCTCCTATGCTGGTTTTTGGCGTAGTGCGGTATGCCCATAATACTTCCGGTAGTAGTTCACGCCACAACCCTTTAGCTTACTCAAGATTCTTTTCAATATGTTCAATATTACTTTATTGGATGATTCGGCTTGACCATTGGCGGCGGGGCGTGGAGAGTATCCGTTTGATGTGCCATTTTTCAAAAAACGCGGTCGTTCTTTTTTCTATGAACTGAGGTCCGTTGTCCTAACTGATCTCTTTGGGGATGCCAAAACGGCATATAATGTTTTTCCATATGAAGGCAATGATCTTCTACTCGCGTATCTGAGTGTATGCACCTGCTTCAACCCATTTAGAGAAGTAGTCAGTCAAAACCAAAAGGAAGCGTACCTTACCTCGTCCTGCTGGGAGGGGGCCGACTATGTCCATTCCCCATTTTATGAATGGCCATGGCGAAGTGACGGAGTGAAGGAGTTCCCCTGCTTGGTGTATCATAGGGGCGTACTTTTGACATTGTTCACATCTCCTGACATAGTCGGCAACTTCTTTTTTCATGGTGGGCTAGTAGTATCCGGCGCGAATGAGGCATTCGATGAGGGCGCGGTTTCCCATATGGGCATCGCAATGCCCCTCGTGTACTTCTTCTAGTACTCTCCACGTTTGATGTGGCCCAAGACATTTGGCTAAGGGTCCGCCGAATGTCCTTTTGTAGAGATCGCCGTTTACTAGGTTGTACCGAGCTGCCTACACTCGGAGTTTTTTGGCTTCTTTTTTGCCTTGCGGGAGTTTTCCATCCTGCAAATAGGATACGAAGTGGTTACGCCAGTCATAAGTTAGGTTTATAGAATGTAACTCGATGTGGTCTATTGCGGAATGGAGTAGGGTGACCATGTTTTCTTTGCCGATATTCTTGGTGGCCGCAGCTAGTTTAGCGAGGCCATCCGCTTCGATATTTTGTGCCCTGCGTATTTGGTCGAGGCGGCATTCATCAAACTCCGACAGAAGTTTGTGGATTTATGACTGGTATCTTTGTAGCCTCTACTCTTTGATTTGGAAAGTCCCGGTGACCTGATTCACTACGAGTCGGGAGTCACAGCGGAGGACGAGTCGTCGGGCACCATATTTGAGGGCTAGCTTCAAACCTGCAATCACAGCTTCATACTCAGCCTCGTTGTTACTCATCTCGGGGCATCGTATGGACTGGCGAGTTACTTCGCCTGTAGGGACCTTGAGGACGAGTCCCAGTCTTGAGCCCAAGGCATTGGAGGCACCATCGGTGTAGAGGACCCAGATGTCGGTGTGTGTAGAAGTGCAGAGTGCTTCCTATTCTACCTCGGGCAATATTTTCGTGCTGAAATCAGCGACAAAGTCTGCAAGCACCTGCGACTTGATGGCAGTTCGCGGTTGGTACATTATGTCATGCTCGTTTAGCTCTATGGCCCATTTGGCTAGTCTACTCGATAGTTCGGGTTAATGTAGGATACCCCTTAGGGGGAAGGTTGTCACCACTTTTATAGGGTTACATTGGAAGTACGGTCAAAGCTTCCATGAAGCTACGACCAATGCTAGAGCTAGTTTTTCAAGGTGAGGGCACCTCGTCTCGGCATCGATTAAAGTTTTGCTAACATAGTAAATTGGAGATTGCGTACCTTTATTTTCACATACCAAGACAGCGCTTACCGCAACTTCGGAAACTGCTAGATACACAAGTAGGAATTCACCTGGATCTGCTTTGACGAGCAGCGGTGGTGAGGATAGACATGTTTTCATCTTTTCAGGGCGTCGATGCATTCACTGTTCCATTGTAGCCCATGGTCTTTCCTTAGTACGTTGAAGAATTTATGGAATCTATCCGAGGATCGTGAAATGAACCTTGATAGGGCAGTTATTCGTCCCGTTAACTTCTGCACCTACTTTTTGTTGGTCAGTATTTTCGGTATTGTGTTGATGGCCTTGATTTGATCCGAGTTGACCTCGATTCCTCTTTGCGACACTAGAAAACCGAGGAACTTTCCAGAAGTCACGCCAAAGGCGCACTTTTCGGGGTTTAGTTTCATTCCGTCTTGCCCTAGTATTTTGAAGGCTTCCTTTAGATAACCAATGTCATCTTCTTTCTTTCCTGACTTTATTAGCATGTCATAGATGTAAACCTCCATTGTTTTACCGAGTTGTTCTTTCAACATTTTGGTGACTAATATTTGATACGTGGCCCCCGCATTCTTGAGCCCGAATGGCATTACCTTGTAGCAGTACGTACCTTGGTGAGTGATGAAAGTGGTCTTTTTCCTGATCCTCTTCAGCCATTAGAATTTGATTATTGGCGGAGTACGCATCCAATAAGCTTAGCAGTTCATGGACCGATGTTGCATCGATAAGTTGGTCGATGTGAGGTAGCGGGAAAGAGTCCTTCAGGCATGCTTTGTTCAAACCGGTGAAGTCGATGCACATTCGCCACTTCCTGTTCTTGTTTTTGACCATGACCACATTGGCGACCCATTGGGGGTATTTCGATTCTCTGATGGAACCGTTGGTGAGTAATTTATCAACTTCTTCGCTGACCACCTCATTGATCGTGGCATTGAATTTCCTCCTCGTTTGTCGTACCGACGGATAAAGCGGATCGACATTTAGCTTGTGTGTGGTGATCTCCCTTGGGATTCCTGGCATATCTGAATGGGGAAAAGCAAACAAATTGGCGTTGTTAGTTAAAAACTCACGATACTCACCTGGCTCCGAGAGGTTGTGCCCAACGTAAGCCTTTTTGGCATAATCGGTGTTATCTAACTGGATGGGGTCGAGATCCTCTATGGTCGTCTTGCAAGCTTCTACAATGTCTGGATCTTTGATGGCCTCTTCTTATATGTCGGGCTTGGTGCCCGACATGGCTTATTTCTATGCTTCCGCGCTTGCCTCTTTTAGTTGTCTGGTGTATGTGCAATCCTGGGCGATCCGATAGCATTCTTGGGTGGTCCGTGGCTCGCCTCGGATGCTGAATATCCCCCATGGGGTGGGAAATTTGATCACCTGATTGAAGCTTGAGGGGATGGCTCGCATGGCGTGTATCCATAGTCGTCCTATGATGGTGTTGTAGGCCGTTTCTTGGTTCATGACGTGGAACATCGTCTCCAGGGTAACCCCTCCTGCTAGGACAGGTAGCACTATTTCTCCGAATGCCCACTCTACTGCATTATTAAAACCCATTAATGTTATGCAACACGATATTATCTTATCCTCGAGCCTCATTTGCACGAGAACTCATGGGTGAACAATACACATGCCGCTTTTGTCATCCACCATGATTCTTTTCACATCGGTGTCAGCGATGCATAAAGGTATAACCAAAGCATCATAGTGAGGAAAAGACAAACCGTCGGTATCTGGCTTGTCGAAGATGATACTATCTTCGAGATCATCATACCGTTCATGGGAGACTATTCGTTTGAGTTTGTACGTGGTAGTGAACTTCACATGGTTGATTACCGTATCATCGCCGCCGCCAATGATCATTTGTATGGTACGCGCTGGTGATGGCGGCTTTGGAGGTCCTTGATATGGGTCATGTCCTCAAGCGAAGTTGGCCCTTCCTTTGTCGCTTAACAGTTCTTTCAGGTACCCTTGGTTCAACATTCTAACTACTTCTTGCCGAAGACCTATGGAATCTTCGGTCTTGTGTCCTCTTTCTTGGTGGAACTCGCAGAGGACGTTCGACCTCCTAGTGTTTGGATCTGATTTCATCTTTTGCGGCCATTGCACCTTCGTGCCCAGCTTCTCTAGTGCGTACACTATTTCTGAAGGGGAAACACAGATATTATGAGCAGATAGTAGTAGAGCCATACCTCTTTTGCTTCAGAGTGGTGCAGTGTGTTGTGGTACAGTGTCTATGTGTTGTGGAGAGGGCGGGTTAGATGTTCGGATATGTGTCTGATGCCTTTCGCGATTGAAACGTGGTGGTTGATCTCGTCGCCCATCGCTACGTCGATCTCTATTTGTCTCGGCTTGGACTGATGTTAACCGTTGAAGTGGGCCGTTCAGGTCGTACTCGTCCGCTCTCACTTTGGTGCAATAGGCGTTGTGAATCTCTTCCCATGTGGTAGGGGGTACTTCATGAGTCTACTGAGTAGCTTTTTGGTTGCCTTTGACCCGCTCCTGTTTAACCCATTTTGAAAGGCTGCGACTTCCATCCCTTCTGATACGTTCGGTATTCTCATCCATACTCTGTTGAATCGGGCCATGAAATCCTGAAGTCCCTCTCCCGTCGTTTGCCTAACGGCGAACATGTCATTGACCCTAGCCTCAGCCTTTCTTGCTCCTGCATGAGTGGTGGCGAATTTATCTACCTTTTCTTCGAACGTCGATATTGATCGTGCTGGTAGCTGGGAGTACCATGTCAACGCTCCCCCTGTCAAGGTCTCGCCAAATTTTTTCAACAGCACAGACGATACCTGTTCTTTTGATAGATCATTGCCTTTTACTGCGGTAACATAATGAATTAGGTGATCGTCCGGGTCTGTGGTCCCGTCATATATTTTCAAGTATGGCGGCATCTTGAAGGCTTTGGAATAGGATGAAGAGCAGCCCCTTCAAAGGTTGTTCGACGAATCGGCCTACGTCGCGTTTCGGTAATAGCTTTGGAGCTCCTGGTATTTTATCGACCCTCTCCTGATGTTCCCTTATTTGGTCGCGAAGTGTTTTTTTCTCATTTTCCATCTCTTCCATTTTCTTTAAGATGGCCATGAGTTCAATATCACCTACGTTAGTGACGGTGTGGGTATTACCTGCTCGTGTAATGCTTGACTCATCGGTGGTAGCTGGGATTTCTATAGGTGGTATGCCTTTGACACCTCCCTGAGTGGGTTTCTCGATCATGTTGCTCAAAGAACTTGTCAACCATTCTTCCAGCAACTTTTTGACTGCTGGCGGTGCTTCCCCCATGGTGGATGTCGAGGCTCCCCTTTCGCGCAAGACCATTAGATCTTCGTGTGGAAGATGTGAGATCTCCCCCTCAGATGTAACTCTTGGCGTTGTATTCCCATCATCTTCTCTAACGGCTTCATCAAGGGAGTTTAGGAGATTGTTCGAGACGTTTTCTATCGCCTTCAGCCTCGCTTCCTTTCCCACCATTGTTGGTTTTCGGAGGTTCAAAGAAAGGTGATCACTTTTAGGGATCTAGATGAGAAGTATGATTTCAGCTATGGAAATCACCACAGACGGCGCCAAATTGTTTGTCTCAAAAGATGTTAAAACCTTTTTTGACAAAGCAATCCAAGATGAAGGGGTAAATCTTAGCTGAAGATAATTACCTCTAGACTAATAGTAGGTAAGGAGAAGAGAGTTGCAAAGTTTCTTTGTATTCAAGATTTTTTTTACTTTTCGAGTGTCCCCCCTTACAAGATCTCTTTTCCCCCTTATATACTAGAGAGAAAACATTCAGAACTATAAGAAATGAAAAATACAAGGAATATTCGACAGAATATTCTCATTGTCTCCTAATGGGCTTACATTTCTAAAAGGGTCATACAATTTCTACTGTTGCCTTAGGGTTGTCTTCCTTGGGATGCCGATTCGAAGATACTCGGTCATTGGTCGTACTCATCATAGGTCGAGGTCGGTCAAATTTGGACCCATACAAACCTCTCTTCTGACATTTATTTACCTACTCAATTTTTAATGACTCTTTTTGATGGAACACTATACGTAGAGGAAGCAATCTTAGTATCAAAATCACATGTAATTTGGACAACTAGCATATTACGAAATTTTCAGAGGTTACCACTTGAAGCGTGAACACAACTCTTCTATCACGTGAACCTTCAGTTCCACATCATCTCAATAGAATCTCCATGACCCACACAATTACGATCCCCGAACGTTCCACGATTTCTACTGTGTTACCCAAATAATATCAGGAAATAGTAATTTCGTGTGGGCGAAATTTTCTAGGAAAAAGACTGAAATTTTTAGCCTCCTTCTCCCCTTCTCCTAAAAAAATTCCTTTATTTCCTATTATTAAGACATACTAGGGATCACATAATTTAACTAACAAGGCTTCCAATTATGGAATTAATTGTAATTTTTGAAATTAATATTCACCATAATAAATTACGAATTATTTCACTAAAAATTCGTAATCTCACTCCTTACTCAATTTCAAAATTCATCAATTAAATCTTCTTTAACTTCCCAGGTTAATATTCATATACTAATCAATTAAATTAAATTACTGACTATTTAATTTATTGATATTTCCTTTAGAGTTTTGCTTAACTTATTGTAATAACCTGGCCGGTCATTTTGAGGGCTGTAGCCTCATCCTCTATATACTGCTCATTTTATGCTTTATAACTACTATGTCAGTTGCTGGGGTAGTTGATTCGTGTCCGGAGAGGTTTTTGAATGAAGTGAAACACTTAGTCTCAAGGTTGGGAGCTTAAGTTGAAAAGGTTGACCGGATGTTGACTTATGTGTAAACTACATCGGAATGGAGTTTTGATGGTTCTGTTAGCTCCATTGGGTGATTTTGGACTTAGGAGCGTGTCCGGATTATTATTTGGAGGTCTGTAGTTGAATTAGGCTTGAATGGCAAAGTTGGAAATTTAGAAGTTTGACAGAGAGTGGGCTTTGTGGTTACCGGTCTCGGATTGGGGTTTCGGGAGTTGGAGTAGGTCTGTATTGTCATTTATGACTTGTGTGCAAAATTTGAGTCCAATCGAACGGGATTTGATAGGTTTAGGCATCAAATGTAGAAGTTAGAAGTTCAAAAGTTCATTAGGCGTGAATCGATGCGCGATTTGTGGTTTTACCATTGTTTGATGTGATTTGAAGGCTTGACTAAGTTCATATCATATTTTAGTACATGTTGGTAATTTTGGTTGAGGTCCCGAGAGCCTCGGGTGGAGTTCAGATGATTATCCGATCAAATTTGGAGTTATAAGGGGTGTTGTAGCTAGAGTCTTCTGGTGCAATCGCACCTGCGGAGCTTGGTCGCAGGTGCGAGTTGTGATGAGAAGATGCAGCCAGGAGTGACGAATTCTGTTACCCACAGGTGAGAAGGATTGTTCGCACCTGCGTGGTCACAGATGCGGAAAGGTTGAGCGCAGAAGCGAAGGGGCATCGCAGGAGCGGGGAGATGGTCGCACTTGCATTTGCACGGAAGTAGAGCATGATCCACAGGTGCGAATCTGGATTTTAGTGGATCATTATAGAAGCGGATGAATTGTCGCTTCTGCAACACTGCAGATATGGTTATGTTTTCGCAAGTGCGGAAAGCCTGGACAAAAATATAAATGTTAAGTTCCGAGGGTTTTATCATTTCTTGATTTTTACAAACTCGGATTTGGGCGATTCTTGATAGGGATTTCGAAACGATTTGTGAGGTAATTCGTTTGTGGTTAATTTTATTCAATAATTATGTTTCCCCATTGAATTTCCCACCTAGTTTGTGTGTTTTGAGGTGGAATTTGGGAGTTTGAGGCAAGGGATTTGGAGAGTTTAACTTGGGGATTTGAGTGACGATTTGATGTTGGATTTTGGTAAATTTGGTATGGTTAGACTTGTGGTTGAATGAGTTTCCGTATTTTGTTACTTTTACTGGATTTCGAGACGTGGGTCCGTGGGCCGATTGTTGAGTTCACTTTTTGACTTTTGATTAAGGACTTAGTATTTTCTAATGGAATTGATTCCTTTAGCTCATGTTGATTATATCGAATTGTTTATAGCTAAATTCGAGATGTTCATAGGCCGATTTGCGAGGCAAGGGCTTGTAGCGGAGTGATTCGAGTTGCTTGAGTAAGTATTTATTTAAACTCGGTTGAGGCACCAGTCGTCTAAATTGTTGTGATAGCCATGTACTTTTAAGTGCGCACATGCATGGGGATGATCCCATGTGCGGGCACCGAGATTGTATATTCATGTTTGAGTTGTGATCGGGATCCTATAAACCCAGAAATTGTTAAGCTTCAAGCTTCGATATCTATCATGTGGTAACAGTTTATGTGATCTAATTGAGCCATGATGAGTCTACTTAGAGGTTTAATCCCTGAACGAATTTGATAAATGCTTTTCATTTACGAAATTGCCGGATTGAGCTACGGTAGCACACTTTTCACATGCCTACACTTTAGCATATTATTTATACCGGTCCAGGGATAGGAAAATCGTATTTCATCCGTTATATACATGTATACTTGCTTATTGCTCCTGTATGAAATTTGGACTGGGCGTGTGACTATGCCGGGTGGATTATGTTATTGGCACGTGAGTTGACCGTGTACCACGTGACTTGTCCATGCAGATCAATGTGCTGATATTATTGGCATCTGAGTTGTCCATGCGGATCCATATATTGATATTATTGACATGTGAGTTGCTCGTGTCGCACGTGAGCTGTCCATGCAGATTCTATTGTTAGCACGTGAGTTGTCCGTGAAGCACGTGAGTTGTCTATGCAGTGTTTGGAACTTGTATTTTCTTAATCATTTATCTGATTTATGTGATTCTTTCCTCTACAT